GAACCAACGCGGATCCTGCAAAAACAGGGCGACCGACCCAAGGACCGGCGGAGGGTGGGAGAAGCGGGCGACCGACCCAAAGACCGGCGGAGGAGGAAGTTTTAAAACTTGCGTTTTGCGTTGTTCTATACGTCCTGTTGAGTCGGGCCTTTTTTGCTTTGTTCTAAGCGTCAAAGTGGGCAGATTCCAAATTCCACCGAATCCCGGTGCCCTATGCTCCCTTAGAAGGGCCCCCATGGCTCAAATCCTTCGGCTAATCCAGGGCATTTAGCCTTGCGAGCAGCACAACGGCAAAGTTTGGATTGCGAGCCAGGGGTCGGTCAGAAGAGCGTTTGGAAGCGAGGCTTCAAACGGCGCGCGAGGTTCACGAAGCGGGTTGGTTGGGGTCACACGCCCGACATGACGAACACCTCAAAAACATAGGCAAACGATGGAGCAAAGACAACAGAAACGAAGAAGCACGCAAAGAACAATGAAATCAGAAATACAAGCAAAATAGGTCACGGAGTTTCTCTCCTACTCAGGCAGAACAAATTAAAAGGAGAACAGCTCAAAAACATAGGCAAATGCTATGCCAAAAAACACGAACAAGCATGCAAACAGCAATGCAAACGGAAATAAAAGCAACGTAGGTGACGGAGTTCTTTCTCCCACCCAGGCATAGGACAAAAGAAGAACACCTCAAAAACACAGGCAAATGCTTGATCAAAACCCAGAGAAACGACAAAGGACGCAAAGAATGAAAACGGAAATAAATCCAAGGTAGCGGACGGAGTTTTACCTCCTGCCCAGGCATAGGAGAAAAGAGGAACGCCTCAAAAAGAGAGGCAAATGCTGGATCAAAAGCAACACAAACGCAGAAGGAGGCAAAGAGCAATGAAATCAGAAATACAAGCAAAATAGGTCACGGAGTTTCTCTCCTACTCAGGCAGAACAAATGACAAGGAGAACAGCTCAAAAACACAGGCAAATGCTATGCCAAAAATCACGAACAAGCATGCAAACAGCAATGCAAACGGAAATACAAGCAATGTAGGTGACGGAGTTCTATCTCCCGCCCAGGCATAGGACAAAAGAAGAACACCTCAAAAACACAGGCAAATGCTTGATCAAAACCCAGAGAAACGACAAAGGACGCAAAGAACAATGAAAACGGAAATAAAACCAAGGTAGCGGACGGAGTTTTACCTCCTGCCCAGGCATAGGAGAAAAGAGGAACACCTCAAAAAGAGAGGCAAAGGCTGGATCAAAAGCAACACAAACGCAGAAGGAGGCAAAGAGCAATGAAATCAGAAATACAAGCAAAATAGGTCACGGAGTTTCTCTCCTACTCAGGCAGAACAAATGACAAGGAGAACAGCTCAAAAACACAGGCAAATGCTATGCCAAAAATCACGAACAAGCATGCAAACAGCAATGCAAACGGAAATAAAAGCAATGTAGGTGACGGAGTTCTATCTCCCGCCCAGGCATAGGACAAAAGAAGAACACCTCAAAAACACAGGCAAACGCTTGATCAAAACCCAGAGAAACGACAAAGGACGCAAAGAATGAAAACGGAAATAAAACCAAGGTAGCGGACGGAGTTTTACCTCCTGCCCAGGCATAGGAGAAAAGAGGAACACCTCAAAAAGAGAGGCAAATGCTGGATCAAAAGCAACACAAACGCAGAAGGAGGCAAAGAGCAATGAAATCAGAAAGAAATACAAGCAAAATAGGTCACGGAGTTTCTCTCCTACTCAGGCAGAACAAATTAAAAGGAGAACAGCCCAAAAACATAGGCAAATGCTATGCCAAAAAACACGAACAAGCATGCAAACAGCAATGCAAACGGAAATAAAAGCAATGTAGGTGACGGAGTTCTATCTCCCACCCAGGCATAGGACAAAAGAAGAACACCTCAAAAACACGGGCAAATGCTTGATCAAAACCCAGAGAAACGACAAAGGACGCAAAGAACAATGAAAACGGACATAAAACCAAAGTAGCGGACGGAGGTTTACCTCCTGCCCAGGCATATGTCCTGCCCAGGCATAGGAGAAAAGAGGAACACCTCAAAAAGAGAGGCAAATGCTGGAACAAATGTCAACACAAACGCAGAAGCAGGCAAAGAACAATGAAATCAGAAATACCAGCAAAATAGGTCATGGAGTTTCTCTCCTACCCAGGCATAACAAAAGGAGAACAGCCCAAAAACATAGGCAAATGCTCTGCCAAGAAACACGAACAAGCTTGCAAACAGCAATGCAAACGGAAATAAAAGCAACAAGGTGACGGACCTCTATCTCCACCCAGGCACAGGACAAAAGAAGAACACCTCAAAAACACAGGCAAATGCTTGATCAAAACCCAGAGAAACGACAAAGGATGCAAAGAACAATGAAAACGGAAATAAAACCAAGGTAGCGGACGAAGTTTTACCTTCTGCCCAGGCATAGGAGAAAAGAGGAACACCTCAAAAAGAGAGGCAAATGCTGGATCAAAAGCAACACAAACGCAGAAGGAGGCAAAGAGCAGTGCGTCTGAACAAGGACAACACAAGAGCACCTTTAAAACAAAACACACACACACACACACACACACACACACACACACACACACACACACACACACACACACACACACACACACACACACACACACACACACACACACACACACACACACAACACCACACAAAAACACACACACACAACACAC